AGTAATTCCCACAAGTGCCTTCGTGGACTTTTCATAGAACATAATTGGTATCCCTCGGTCCTAATCATACCACCAATGGTCCACCGAAAGTCTTCCTGTACAACATTCCATCTTCGTTCAATGTGAACCTAGCAGCCTCGGTTCATGGAGCCCTTGATTCTTTATGATCCGATGGGAGCTTTCCGTTTTTCAAATAAGCGATACACTTATTCCTCCAATCCCAAGTCAAACTCGTAGAATTTATATCGGCATGACCCTCTTTGACCAGAGATCTCGATAACTGGACGACAGTCCCCGGAACAATATCATCTTCTTCTACTGATGACCCCAAGTTGGCAAGTGCATCGGCCTTATTGTTTTGCTCTCGAGGCACATGATCTAGGGTCCATTCCTTGAAGCGATACAGGGTTACCTGTAGCTTATCCAAGTATCTTTGCTTCCTATCCTCTCAAAGTTCAAAACTTTTGTTTACTTGCTTCACTACCAACAGAGAATCGCACTTGGCTTCAATGACTTCTGCCCCCAAGCTTTTAGCTAGCTCAAGACCTGCAATCATGGCCTCATACTCGGCCTCATTATTAGCCAACCTAGAAGTTCTGATAGATTGTCTAATAATACTATCTGTTGGTGGCTTCAAAACAATGCCAAGCCCGGACCCCTTCATATTTGAGGATTCGTCCGTGAAAAGGGTCCATACCCCCGATGATGTACCAGATTGTAGAGAGGGCAGCGTAAAATTGGCCACGAAGTCAGCTAAGATTTGAGACTTGATGGTCGTTCAAGGTTGACATTCGATATCGTACCCGCCAAGTTCGACGGCCCATTTGGCCAACCGGCCCGACAGTTCGGGCTTATGCAAAATATTCCGAAGGGGATAAGTGGTCAACACACATATGGGATGACACTGAAAATATTGCTTTAACTTTTTAGATGCGCTTATTAATGCAAGTGCCGATTTTTCTAAGTGTGGATATCTAGTTTCAGCATCACCTAGAGTTTGACTTTATAATAAACAGGGAATTGCGTACCTTGCGCTTCCCGAACCAATACCCCACTTACCGCTATCTCGGACACTGCCAAATATAAATAAAGCTTTTCGTCTACCTTCGGAGTGTGAAGCAGAGGTGGGCTCGATAAATATCGCTTTAAATCCTCCAATGCTTGCTGGCATTCCGGGTCCATGCGAAATCCTTTTTCTTTTTGAGCAAGGAGAACAATTTATGGCTTCGATCCGATGACCTTGAAATAAATCGACCCAAGGCGGCTATTCATCCTGTTAACCTTTGTACGACTTTCACATTATCTACGATAGTGATATCATTGATGGCCTTGACCTTGTCGGGGTTGATTTTGATCCCTCGATTTGATACCATGAATCCGAAGAACTTGCCCGAACCGACTCTGAAGGCACATTTCTCTGGGTTAAGCTTCATTTTGTACTTCCTCAAGATTTTGAATGTTTCCTGCAAGTGAGTTAAATGGTTCTCTGCGCGCAGGGACTTAACTAACATATCGTTAATGTAAACCTCCATTGATTTACCTATCTGTTCCTCGAACATTCTGTTAACTAAGCGTTGGTATGTTGCTCCAGCATTTTTTAGCCCAAAGGGCATTACATTGTAACACTATGTTTCAAACTTAGTGATAAATGAGGTCTTTTCCTGGTCCTCCGGGTTCATCTGAATTTGATTGTACCCGGAGTAGGCGTCGAGAAAGGTTAGGATCTCGTGGCCGGCCGTGGTATCGATCATGCGATCGATGTTAGGGAAGGGATGGGAGAGAGAAGGACCTTTTGGTGTTACCTTAATGGGGTCCCAAAGGTGGGTATCAACTAGGTGGTTAATGCATCGTGAGAGAATTTCCATGCAGAGAATGAAGATATAGGGAGACATAGGATCTCCTTGGCGAATTCCCCTACTTGGGCAAAAATAATTAGTTTTTTGACCATTGACTAGAATAGCTATTTGGCTAGTGGTGATGCACGACATAATGAGCTTGGTAATATTAGGAGGAAATTTAAAGTGGTGGAGCGTTTGATAAACAAAGGACCATTCGATTCTATCAAAAGCTTTTTCAAGGTCAATCTTAATAATCATGTTGCCAATCTTGCTCCTTTTTTATTTATAGAGTGAATGACTTCTTGGATAATGGTAGCATTATCACTTGCCCTACGATTTTCCATAAAGCTTGCTTGGTAGGGGCTAATGATAGTAGCTAGGAAGGGTTTTATTCGATTGGCGATTATTTTAATAATGATTTTGTAGATAGTATTGCAAAGTCCTATGGGCCGGAAGTTCTTGAGGTTATTAGCATTAGGAAATTTTGGAATGAGACAGACATAAGTATTGTTTAAGGGGGATGGAATAGTGCAATCTTTTAAAACCTTGTGGCAACAAGAAATTACAGAGGGTCCAATAATATACCTATATTTTTGAAAGAAAAATGGACGTAGGCCATCCAGACCAGGGGCTTTGAAAGGTTTGAATGAGTAGAGGGCTTTTGTTATTTCCATATTTAGTAAAGAATTGTCTAATGAGGAAAGGTTAAGGTTAGAGAAGCTGGTAGGGTTAGTATTTATGAGATTCCTATTTGTGGAGGTCATTGAGAAAGTGAACAAATTGTGGAAGAAATTGGTAGTATGGCTCATGATAGCTTCTTGATTATCAAAATAATTGCCATGATCGTCTTTGAAGAAGACTATTTGGTTTTCCGTTTACGGTTGGAGGCACTTATATAGAAAAATTTAGTGTTGGCATCACCATTGTTTAACCAAGCAATTCTGGATCTATTTTTCCAATAATCCTCCTCTATTTTTAAAATGTCATTATACTCCTTTTTAAGGTTATCTTCTAAGTTTTGGAGGAAGGTGGTAGTGTGATAATGGCTTGAGGCTTGAATGCCACTTAGTCTAGCTAGGATAGTTCTTTTCTTTTTTTTAAAGTCTCCAAAGGTAATATTCTTCCATTATAAGATATTTTTTGAAATTACTAGAGGCAGTAATTAAGTTGTTAGACCAACTAGAGTTGATAATATTAACAAAATCGGGGTGATTACACCAAAAAGATTCCAGACGAAATGATCTAGGACCACTATATATATTGTTGTTGGAAAGAGTAAGAAGGAGAGGGTTATAGTCCGAATAGGTTTTGGGGAGATGGGTAACAAAAGCAGTGGGGAAAAAATCCAACCAATTGTCATTAACAAAAATACGATCAAGGCGTTCCATAATCAAACCTTTAGACCTTTTCCTGTGATTTGACCAAGTGAACTTATAGCCCTTGTATCCAAGGTCTATAAGGTTGCAATGGCTAATATATTTCCAAAGAAGCGATGACCTACGAGGGTTAACGGGTCTGCCTCCTAACTTTTCACTATCCATAAGCACATCATTAAAATCTCCACCAATCAACCAAGGACCTTTATAATCATTAGAGATATTTTTAAGATTATTCCAAAGACTATCTCTATTTAAAAGAGAAGTACTGGCATAAATAGAGCTAAAGAGCCATGTTTTTAAGTGGTAATTACCTCAATCATTGCATGAATGGCCTGATCGCGTCTAGTGAAGCTATGAACGTTGACAGTGTTTGTGTTCCATAGGATTACCATCCCTCCTGCTTGACCTTCCGCGAGGACTTCGATCATATTGGTGAAATCATGGTCATTCAGTAGGGGAGCATGGGAGGTCATTCTAGTCTCCAGAAAGGTTACCACACAAGGTTTGTGGGTGTCCATTAAATCCTTAAAGTGCCTACGAAAGGTGTCGTTATTGGCACAGCGAGCAGGTTTTTTCATTAGTGGGGTTGTTGGGTTGATCACATTCATCCCCTCCTCCGATGAGAGAGGTGGGTTCTTCCTCAGGCATGGCACTAGGATTATCGCATGCTTCCCCACAGTGGGGTCCTGGGGTGGTCCATGGAGCTCTTGTACAGTGCCATTGGACAACTGAAGATGTATTTCTTGTCTTGCATTTCCCTAAATAGCAGCACTTTTACTTCTCCTAAACTTGCGAATTCTATTGCTAGTTCGTAGTGGTGGAGGTCTAACTCTTCCTCCTCGACTGCCTGATTTGGCACTGGAAGGGGGTCTTTGGGAGGGATATTTTCTTGCATGGGGGCTGGAGCCTCCTCCTGAGATGGTGACTGATTGGTGGGGCTGAATTTCCCATGGCATGAATATTGGATTGAGTGCGGTCTGCTCCTCTGGTGGGAAGAATGGGAGGTTGGGAAGTGGAAGAGGTATTGTTGGTGGTTGATTGTGTGGAGGCAGATTCCATTGGTTCTGCATTTCTTGGATTAGAGTGGGGTTGAGATTCGGTGCTAGAGGGTGTAAGATTTGGTTGAGCCAAGTTTGGTTCACATAATAATTCATTGAAAGGTGCATTCTCTCCGATACCAGTTGTGCTAGATATTGAGGGTTTTGAATGACTAGGACAGTCTCCTGGCCGTTGATTATCATATTGAAGGAGATTGCATGGCCCATGAGGCCCCTCTCCAACCAAGAGAGTGGATGGTGGTTCGGGGGGGGGGGGGGGAAGTGTAGTAGTGAGGGGGATTTGGGATTGGAAGAGAAAGGTTGTTCATGGCTATTTGATGCTGGTAGTTGAGAATTTGGATGAGCCTTAGTCTTCTCTTTGGAGATAGAGGAATTCGTGGCATGGTTATCACACTGGTTTATAGGAACTTTGGATGAAGATGGAGAGTTTGTAGTAGTAGGCATAGGTAGATGGATACTTATAGCATCTATGGGCATGCAGATCGTTTGAGGAGGCGTGAGAGGATTAGCAAAATATTTAGGAGAGATATCAATAGATCATTGTATATTTTTGGTAGACACTTGGCATTGATATGCAGAGGGATTGGACAAATGTGAGGAGGTAAGCTCAGTAGAGGTTGGGTTGGCCTCTGTTAGTGCATGCAGCTGGCTAATGGTGAAGGCTTCAAGAGAAGCCTCCTGTTGAGTGAGGGAATTAGTAGTAGGATTAATAGGTGTATAATGATTTAAGCGTGTTTTATTTGTAAGTGAGATAGGTAAGGAGAGAGCAGAGGGGATGCCACGTGGCAATTACTATTGGAAAGTGGCTCTAAGTCAGCCTCCATGCATTGGTCATCCTCGGAATCTTTTCCTATTCTAGAGGTCGTTTTTGCAGTATCAGTGGGCAGGATTTGCAGGGCTGCAAATTGGTTCGTATTTCCGTGGATTTTGAGGTTAGGGCCAGTCTTGTGGGAGTGCAAACGATGCTTGTTGGGGCCAATTTTCCCGGAGACAACTTTATTAAAATATTTAAGATTTTGAGTATTTAAGAACTTACCTGTATCTGCATAAAAAATCCTAACTTTAATTCCTGTTTCATCAAGAGCTGGAGGAAATATTTGTCGTGGGGGGGGGGGGGAGGGTTTCCTTCTGGAGAAGGAGACTGTGTGCCATTCTTCTTCGATCTCGTTAGACGTAGGTGTAGGTGGGTCTGCTTGCATGGTGGAGTTCTCCATTGATAAAGGAGTGTTAGAATTGATTTTTGCATATGGACAACTGGTTTTGGTTTGGCCAAGTCTGCCGCAATTCTTACATAGAAAGTACTCCCCTTCATATTGAATTAATTGTCTATGCTTGCCAATGTAGATGTAGGACCTAACTGGGGAGTCCATCGGGACTTCTAGGCAGAGTCTGTCATATCTGCCTCTGATAGTTGCAGATGTACAGGCATCGATCTTCACTAGTTTCTCAATTTTGTTACCAATCTTCTGAAGGACAAGCCCATCATAGAACTCCGTGGGTAGGTTAGGTAGACGAATCCAGACTGTTGTGATGTGAGGTCTGGCTTCAGTGGCAACAAAGTTTGGGGACCATCTCTGTAAGGATAAGTAGGAGCCATTAACAAACCAAGGTCCTCCTTGAAGGGCTCTTAGCATGTTTTCTTCTAGGTTAAATTTGACTATATAGTAGTTTGCAACTAGATCAATTAGAGGAAAAGATTCTGGGGATTTTCACATATCCTGCAGTTTCTTTTTTAGATAGAGGTGTTGGACTCGTTTGCCAAGTAATTTGACAATGAGGGAATACCTCCATGGATAATAGATACGTTGCAATTCTTCTGGAGAGAGGTTTACTTGTAAATCTTCTTTTTGATTTTGATGATCTTGATCCATGGCTTCAGAATTATTTTCCATCTCTATTTCACTAGGGACGGTTGGAAGGTGGATGGAGATGGGGTGTTCAGGGGAGATTGATAGAACGATCGCTTTGAAGGAAGGATTAGAATCATGGGGAATGGTGTTTGGGATCGAAGTAGATTCATCAGTAGTTGCAAGAGGTGCTAAGTCTGGTGGCTTTGGAGGAATGGAGGAGGGGATCAGTGGTGGTGTTGTAGAGAGCATTTCCTCTGCTGTAATTTTTTTTGGGTGATTCTGCAGTTGTTAATTTCTCATCACGTTAATTTGACTTACAATAATATGTTACTTTTATGGCAAATTGCTAAATGGCATTAGTTACAAAATTCTTTCGCATTATCAGCATATATAACTGAATTAAATTACTCTTTTTGCATAACAAAAACACTGGTCTCTCTCTTTCATTGTTGTTACTCTGCAACTGTCTGGGACAGGATATTGGGATGGCAAGGTATTAACAGGAAATCTATGGGATGGCATGATGAAATGAGATGGGCTGTGAGATATGGGCAGGGGAAGTCTGATACTGCTGCTATGTATAGACTGACTTTGGCTGGATGTTTGTATTGCATTTGGCAGGAGAGGAACATGAAGCTGTTTCAACACAAGAGGCGAACTAGTGAGATATTGGAAAGACATATTATCCAAGAAATCCATTATAGAGGGTCGAGGTTTCCTAGCTCAAAGAGGAAGATGGAGAATCTGAACTTTTATCCTTAGTAGTGAATGATAGAAGGTTAGAGCAATAGAGAAGATGTGTAGTTGGCTGGATTGGAGCTATATGTCCAAGACAGCACGTTTCTCTTTTTTTTTTCTTGTATTGAGCTGTATATGTTTACTTGGTAAATAAAGAGTTTAGTTACCAAAAAAAAAAAAAAAAAAAAAAACACTGGTCTCTCTTGTGAGTCTTCTCTTGGGTATATACTTCACCACCTAAAGCTCTACTGATGATTAAAACCACTTAAATTGAAGCACAACTGCAAGGGCCACTATAATGGTAAATTAACCTGCATCATTCTAATATAAAAAGAAAAAACTTTTATTGAAAAAGTAAATTGTGGATGCTATTATATTATCCACAAAACGTTTCCTCAAAGATAGAAATCCAATACGGAAGAGCTCTAAATTTTATTTTAGGAAAAATAAAATTAATCATGGTAAATATTTTATTTTTCTTCAAGTAATAGATAAAATTCAGATATAGTAAGAAAAACAGAGCAAACCCTCACTACAACATAATGTATTTATAGCTACGAAATCTCAGTTGCGAATTTAAAAATTGTGGCTAATACCTAGGAATATCCACAAAAATTAGAATTTTCTAGCTATTTACAAATTCGTAAAATTTGCTAACTACGAAAATTTAATTGGTAAAGCTAATTCCTTATTTTTGCTATAATTGCTAACAAGCGTAGCAATAATTACCTAAATAGCTACAAACTTATTGCTATAATAAAATTGCGTAGCTAATTCATACGTTTTAGCCACGCGTTAAAAGTTATTATCGCAATAGCATTAGCCACAATAAATTATTTAAAATAAAATATTGTAGCTAAAGAAATACATTTGCTTCAAGTTATAAAAAATTGTGGCAATAGGTAAATGAATAGACACCAATTTATTGTTATAATAAAATATTGTAGCTAATTGTTAGTTTTTGCTACGAACTGAAAGTTACTATAGCAAAAGTAACCTTTTAACCAAAATAAATTATTTAAAATAAAATATTAACACTAGATATTTTTCCATATATGGACACTTTTTGCAAAAAAAACTAATAAGAGATGCTACGTAGACACCGGTGATGCTCATGACATGCTGCGTAGATAACCTTCATTATATCATAGGAGATGGATCAAAGCAAGGCATGATTAGTGGCGGAGGCAGAATTTCTGCTAAGGGGGTTCAAAAAAGAAAAAAATTGCTAAGGAGGTTATAAAGAAAAAAGACATTAAAAAATTAAAAGAGATCCCCAGGTTTTGAACCCCCACTAAGTTATACTTTTGGGCTATGTTTAAAGAATTTAAAATATAATATATAGAGGTAAAAAATAAATTTTACTTAATTATATATTATAATTTTTCGACAAAGAGGGATCGAATAAACTCCTTCCATCCGTAAATCCGCCCCTGGGCATAACTAGCGGCAGAGGAGCCAACTTGATATATCCCCACGTGATATTGCACATTAAAATAGCCAACTTGATATATCCCCACGTGATGTTGCACATTAAAATATGAAACATATCATCTGATGAATGGAACTCTTTAATTAAGACTCTGATATAATTGCACGGCTTCAAATAATGCACAAATAATCTGTGATGTCCATGACAGAGGGCTGATTGATGAGGACGGGTCAAGCAAGACTGATAGGCTTCTAGGCTGCAAGCTTCTGAAGAATGGATGCAAATATTACTTTAGACAAATCTCTTCGGAATGGGAGAGGAAAGTGAAGTGCATGGCACAAGTTCACATAGTACGCGTATCTTTGGGGCTCGAGGTGGCTAGTCCAAAAAGACAAATTCGTGACGACCTAGGCCCCAAATTAGACAATACGTGACATGGGCTTGGGTCGTGACATAATCCACCATTAGAAAATAGGTTGCGTATTATCACTTTTAGCCCGCACCAGAAACTATTTACATTTGGTAGCCGAAAAAGTGTGTGTGTATATATATACACACACACACACACACATACACACACACACACAAATTTTTTCAGCATATTTGTACATACAAATTTTATATATTTTTTCGACTATTATTTTTACTGCGGTTATACAGTGTCATTTTTTCAAATAGGTTTTGTAGAATTTACTTCAAATCTAATTCAAATTACAAAGTAACTCACATAAGTATGTACAAATTTGCTGAAAAATAAAGTTATTCTACTTTTTCTTTATACCCAAGATCTGATAAATCTTGACAATCAGCTTTAATACTATGATATTTCTCACTATATCATTTTTTTTATTCAATAAAGTTACGCAATGAGGAATCCATTGCAATAAGAAAAGTGAATCCTCAAGAACATTTGAATTTTAAGCTCTATTATAAATATAATAAATTTGTATTGGGTGATATCCTTTTTGCTTGAGCCCGATCGGGTTGGGTCCGGTCCGGGGCAAGTCGGGGCCATCGAACCCGACCTGGATGCAAGCTAGAACGACGGCCACGTCAACAACCGAGGTCGAGTCATTTCGAGACCGTTGCAGAGCTCGATATGAGTCACCACCGGATGGAGAAACACACAAGGTCGGAAGCCGGACTCGTAACGGATAACCAAGCGTCACCGGATATCTCGCCCAAACGTGATTTTCTCAACCACTTCAGGCCATTAAGGCGTAATTACAGGGATCCACGATGTAATTAATTTACCTACCTTATTTTTACCCTTAATCAGAATGTATAAAAGGGGAGAAGACCCCATAAAGAGGGGATCGGAAACCATTACACTACGGTACCATCTCTCTCAATTCTTGTACGCTATCAAGCACNAAGGAACACTTTGTGAAGTTTTCGCCATTTCTTGAAGCTTTACGAAGAGATGAAAAGAAAATACAACCAACGCAAAATTTGAGAAAGATAAGAAATGTTGAACCTGGAAGGGTCGTTTATACTTTTCCCATGAGGCGGTGGCACGAATCGCGAAGTTACAGACACGAAGCGACAGATAATTAAGAGAAGCATTAAATGCCTGCAGCAGGCGTGGTCAGAGCACTCGATGGCTTTTTCACCTGGCGTATGGCCATACGTCACGGGCATCACGTCACCGATCATATCGTTTATTATCATTACTCTCTAATAAACGAGGGGACTATCTGTATTGGGTGATACCCTTTTTTGCTTGAGCCCGACCGGGTTGGGTCCGGTCCGGGGCAAGTCGGGGCCATCGAACCCGACCTGGATGCAAGGTAGAACGACGGCCACGTCTACAACCGAGGTCGAGTCATTTCGAGACCGTTGCAGAGCTCGATATGAGTCACCACCGGATGGAGAAACACACAAGGTCGGAAGCCGGACTCGTAACGGATAACCAAGCGTCACCGGATATCTCGCCCAAACGTGATTTTCTCAACCACTTCAGGCCATTAAGGCGTAATTACAGGGATCCACGATGTAATTAATTTACCTACCTTATTTTTACCCTTAATCAGAATGTATAAAAGGGGAGAAGACCCCATAAAGAGGGCATCGGAAACCATTACACGACAGTACCATCTCTTTCAATTCTTGTACGCTATCAAGCACTATTGTTCTAAGCAATATTATATTCTGCGATTATTTACTTTAACAACAATTGTTGAGTCTTTATCTTTTATTTTCCTCAACCTAAACCTTTTGTATCTTTTAGTTCACGGATCCTTAAAACCCCATATAAATTCAATTGTTATCCGGATTCTAGGGTAAACAATATTATTCTATCATCTATTCATGAGTCTTAGAAAATACGTAAGTGATAAATGATTGAGATGACTTGATCCTCGTTCTCTTTGCTGTAATGGTTACTGCGTATGTTCTTATTGGCACCATATTAACAATTTAAAGTTTCATGTTTGTCATATCTGAATGATATATATAGCAACACCTAGCTTTTTTTTATTGTGTTGGTACATCTGTAGAAGCTCCTTGTAGCAACAAGTCCTGATATTTGGAAAAAGAAACTTGTGAAATAAGTAAAATATAATTTATAAATAAAGAAAGGAAGAGGGTAAAAAACAAAAGTAAATCATGTGTG